CAACATGGCTGCAGAGTGCCTGTTGTCCTCATGGCAAGAGTTAGTTGGACATTTCTACTGCTACACATTCTGCCTGTAACCATGTTTTTTTTACATGCAGAGCGGTTCAAAAGATTTGGCTTCTGAGACGTTGCTGTTTGCAATCACAACCTACTGGCAATGGCCTCCACCCTAAGAACCTCTGGCAATGGCCATACTACTAGGAACAAGAAGCTACTAGGAGCGCTACTAGGAGCAAGGACGCTACTAGGGGCTCCTGACCATCAGTCTTGGGGTCGAGGCACGAAGTCAACCTGTCCAGGTCCAGAGCTGACCCCAGAACAAGAGGAGGCCCTCAAGAAGTGCCATGCCTGCAGGGTCCAACGTGGCTAACAGACACCGGAGATGATACCTGAGCAGACATCGATGAGGCTTCAACTGCCCTCAATTTTTTTCCAATAGCTTCTTGTTCCTAGTAGTAAGGCACTTGTTACTAGTAGCTTCTTGTCACTAGTAGTAAGGATGCTCCAAGTAGTACGGCCAGTAGCCCCTAGTAGCTTCTTGTCAGGGCAAAGGTCACTTTGGTAAATTTGGTGTTGGTAAATGCATTGGTAGACTTCCTGAAATTCGGTAAACCCAGTAAATCGATGTAAATTGGAAAAACCGGTAAATCAGATAATTTGGTAAACTTACAATTTTACCCCTTTTATTCCGCGCAGTGGTGTCCTACTGTGCATCAAGAATAGCAAACAGCCAGCAAATACAACAGATCAGCATGCACATGTACATTTCCCTCTAATCAAGGCTGTGTGCAAAACGCTACAAACAAGGAAACAGCGTATTTTTGCCAGCAAAGACCGGCCGGCCCACATGCTGTTCGTTTCACACGCGCACGTGGATTCGCAAAAACAGAGCACCAAAATGCATCCGTGCATCACTCAACCTATGTGTTTTCAGCTTTGCTCGACTTGGATTCAGGGCATTGTTAAGCCTACCTACAACTTGATGAATTCTGTGCACCTTCTCATAAAGAGATTGATTTTTGGATCTTAACCAAAGACAGACAGACACTTGGTTTGAACCGCTTTGGCTCTACGGTGGACGACTCAAGATTGGTCGCATTGTTTTCTTTCTGTGTCATGTGAGACTTTTCTCACTCCATGAGTTTGGCTGACCTTCGGAACATCGCTAAATTTTGTTTTACGATTTTACTTTTCGCTTCTGTCACCTCGGAATTTTACCATATTACCGTTTTACCCTTTTACCCCGCTCTTGTGTGCTCGAAAGTTTTACCGTGTTACCGTTTTACCGTTTCACCGCGGGCCTTTGCAACGGAAACTCCGTAACCAGAAGACACACTGCGAGCCAGCACAGGTCAAGCATGAGAGCTTATGCAAGGAAAAATGAAAGGATTGGTAGATGTCTAGAGATCAGAGATAAGAAGGACAAGTAGCAAGAAGCTACTAGGGGCTCCTGGCATCGCTACTGGGAGCAAGAATGCTAATAGGGGCTTCTGGCCTTACTACTAGGAGCAAGAAGCTACTAGGAACTAGAACGCAAGAGCCGAGGATCCAAGCTGCTCAGCGGGGCCTCGAGCTCCGTAAGGCCGACGCTGAGACCGCCGAGACCGCCGAGACGAAGCTGACGCCGCAGCTGCCCACGGCCCCACCGCCGGGCGAAGAAAACGCTCGAGGCTCCGGTGAGTCCGACCATGTCCGACACGGAGCGTGTTCAGTCCAAAGGGCATCGCTACTAGCAAGGACGCTACCAGGGGCTCCTGGCCTTACTACTAGCAACGACGCTATTAAAAGGTGGAGGCACAGGTGCGTCCTTTGCTCCTAGTAGCGATGCCAGGAGCCCCTAGTAGCGTTCTTGTTCCTTGTAGTAAGGCCTGGAGGCCTTCTTGCTACTAGTACTGCCCTGGTTACTAGGGATGCCCTTGTTACTAGGCTTCTTGCTACTCAGGCCAAGCTCCCTCCGCCCGATCTCGACTTCAGGCCTGCGGCGCCGGCAGAAGCGGCAGCTCCTCCGAAAAGCAAGGATGCCGCCTGGACAGATCCAGTGACAAGCTTCATGAACTTCACAAGGTTCAACTGAAAGGCAGTGCCCTCAATATTCCATGTTCATTTATGCACTTCTCCGTCGAGGTATCGCTTGTCCTATGACTTCCAGAAGAAGAAACTCATTGTGCGGCACTTAGGAACGACCCAAGAATCAAGCGAAGCAAGTTGTATGCTAGCAACAAGGGCAGTACTACTGGTAGCAAGAAGCTACTAGGGGCTCCTGGCATCGCTACTAGGAGCAAGGACGCTACTAGGGCTCCTGGCCTTACTACTAGGAACAAGAAGCTACTAGGGACTCCAAGCGAAGCAAGGTGCATGCTAAGTGGCGGGGTTCCGTAGCTTCTTGTTCCTAGTAGTATGGCCAGGAGCCCCTAGTAGCGTCCTTGTTGCTAGTAGCGATGCCCTTGCTACTAAGAGGCAACGTTCTATTGCCCAAACCAAGTCCCTGGGACAATGGAGTAGCTGTAGCCAGGAAGGATCATTTTGCATAGGATCTCTTAGATGTTGTTTCCATTGGTGGAGGACAGGGAAGAATGATGGTTATTGGTCATTCCTTCCGAAAGGTGAAAGGTGAAAAGCTGCGTTTCTTCGACCTTTCTATTGCCCAATTGCTTCGGCACATCCCAAGGATCCTCTAACGTGAGCCGCGTGAGATGAGAACCTCTGACGTGAGTCCCGTTCCGCAAACGTTCCTGTTGCTTCGGTGGACAAAAAAGAAGTTTCAATTTCCAAAGATGAAGTCTGCCCAGGTGAGTCCACCCTAGTAGCTTCTTGTTCCTAGTAGTGAGGCCAGAAGCCCCTAGTAGCTTCTTGTTCCTAGTAGTAAGGCCAGAAGCCCCTAGTAGCTTCTTGTTCCTAGTAGTAAGGCCAGGAGCCCCTA